GCCAACCACACCACCAAAAAGGACCTATGGGTGATCCTTCACAATCAGGTACGCTGCCTTCACATGGACAAGTAAACAGACTGACAAAGGGGTGGGTAGGTCTACAACGTCACACCGTACATTGAAGACCGTAGGTTTTTCTGTATCTTTTACGTTTCGTGAGTTGATCGCCAGGCTAATAAAGTAAAAAGACCCCGGGGGTGTGTCAATTTTATTAGAATCGGCCGGCCAAGACTGCACCGAGGCGTTTGAAGACATTGGTCACAGTACTGATGCACGAGAGGTGCTGGAGAAGTATTTAATCGGCAGGGTGCCGGACGATGTGAGAGTCAACTATTTCTGCTTCATGTCTCGTTTAAGATTTTGGGATTAGCAACACTGACAAAAATACTACAGGAACGTACCGAGACCCTTGTAAAAACTGTGGCTGAAGTTATTCCTCAAGATGACCGGGAGACCGAGAGCCAGAATATAAATAAGAAGCACATCCGCGTCATGTTGCCTACGATTTCCACGGGTCTTCTGCTCATTACGAGCCTTATTTGGGTTGGTGGACGAGTTATTAGAGGAGTTTCAACACTTCAAAGCTCGGGAGGATTCTGGGTGGGGTTTGGAATTTCCTCTCTTGCCAGTATATCAATGGTAATGGCGACAGGGGTGTGGTTTAACACCCTTCTCAGGAGTAAAGCGAAGGATTCGTTCCCTACTCGCATTAAACCCGGCATCAGTGTTGCCAAGAGGCGATCCATCAATTTTGGTGTCATGAACCCGCGGCAATTTCGGAGTTTCCCTCTTATTGAAAAGCACCAAATTTCTCCGGACACCTATCGGTTTGTCTTTGGTCTACCTGAGCCGGGGTCTCTTCTAGGGCTACCAACAGGCCAGCATGTCTACATAAGACATGAGAATGCCAAGGGAGAGATGGTTAGCCGGAGCTATACACCGGTATCCACTAATCGCGAAAGAGGGCGCATGGAGTTGGTGGTGAAAACTTACCCGAATGGGTTTATGTCTCAATACCTTGCGAACCTTGCAATTGGTGATAAAGCTGATTTTCGGGGACCCGGTGGGAAGATGAAATATACTCGATATCTGACACGGGAAATTGGAATGATTGCGGGTGGATCAGGTACGTACCATACCCATATGCAATCGGCGCAGAACTCGACGACTAATGTGAAATGAGACAGGAATCACGCCTATGTTCAGGTGAAAAGTTCTTCATCCACATTCAAAAGGAACCTGTGCTAACTGTGAATGCAGTATAATCAAAGCCGTTTGTACGACCGAGAAGGATAATACGAAGATCAGCTTATTGTTCGCTAATAAAACGGAAGATGACATCCTTCTTCGCAAAGAACTGGATGAATATGCCCAGAAGTTCCCCCACAAATTCAAGGTGTGGTATATTGTAGATACCCCTCCTCCTGGCTGGCAATACGGCACCGGGAGGATTGACGAGAATTTGATCAAAAAGCGATTACCGAGTCCGAATGGAGAGGACTCCAAGATTCTTCTCTGCGGCCCCCCGGGGATGCAGAAAGCTATGGTGAATACGCTGGTCGGCTTGGGATTCCGTCGTCCTAGTGCTGTTGCACATGTCACTGACGAGATTTTCGTCTTTTAAACTGCTTTTAACAACCTCTTTTTTTTTTAAAGTACCCTCACCTTCGTTCTATGGGTTCTGCATTATGTCGACAAAATACGTGGTGTACATACTACACAACCAAGCAAAGATGCAGCCGCTGGCGTTAACATGAGAGTCGGGCCGGAATGTACTATGCTATCCGCGGGCATATATTCACGAGTACTACCTGTCATAGATGTGATGTAATATAGTACATAGGCGATGGTCAGGCGGCTTGGGTTCAAGGTGGTCATTGGTGTGGCCGCTTTGGGCTGAGTGGTCTACCTGAACACCTTTCGGGTTCTGGCATAATATTAAACCTCTTGTAGTTATCATCCAGATTGCTGGTGCACAGTGTAGCTGTTTTAGGGTTGGATAATCTAAATAGCAAGTGAAAGTCTGTATCACTGGCTGGCGTGGACACATTGGCTACCTGGCGTACTGATCCGTGTAGGTCTCCGGTCTCAAACAATTATACTTGCAATTCCGGAACATCCCAGAGAAGCTGGCTGCGCGTACTGAATCTAAGTTTCAACATTCTGGTCTTTTGACTGAATGATCCACTGTGCCCCATTTCGGATTCTCAGGGTAGGTGTGGGCCCGAACACTGAATTCAACCAGAGTAACTTAAGCAGAAATGCGACAATATAGTTTCTTTGGCATGTCCCGAGCCTGCCGTGGCATCCAACAGTGTGCAACGATTAAGACGTGTTACACGTAATACACTACGTCACTAGAACAAGTTGAAGATGGTTCTTTGGGCTGAGACAGACCTGCAGCCACTATATCTCCCGTATTTAAGGAGACCACAGCTGCCCGTGGTGTTCCAAATTGATACTTCATCTTCTCTACTTCGTTATACTCGCAAAAGAATTACTGTTGGAATCCATTGTACTTACAATATAATTCATTCGCCATGATTGTCGACTTGTTTCTCATGGGGAAAGATCCCAATCAATCCTCCCTAAAGATTGATATTGATCGGGTGGACGACTTAGACGCCCTGAAAGTCAAGGTTGCGAGTCGGTTCAACATTGTTGTACCGAACAGTATCGATTTTCAAGATCAAGCTGGCCGTCAGCTCCTTGATATTGAGGATGTTCTGGATTGTCCCGAGGCAGTGGGAATCCTGGTGGATGGACACTCAGTCCGAGAACCTGTAAGCTGGGTCTTCCGCAGAGAGCGTTCCGGGATGTTAATACAAATGTGCAACACAGTCTGGACCGAAGGGGCTACCCTTTGCTGGTGCTTACTATGAGGTCTTCCCTGACCACGTTGGTAACCACGAGCGGATGTTCCACAGATTTGGCGGCGTCATAAAATATACTACGTATGGCCGCGATAACTACCTGACGCGCGACCCCCGGGTCGCCGAGGTAGCCTTCGCGGAAAGCCCCTTCTTCACCAAGGCCACTTCGAACCCCAATCATCCGCTCCACCCTATCAGCAATCAGAACTCACTGTTCATATGCGATACTAATGAGAATTGGCGAATCGCCCATCGGTTCATAGCTCCGGCTCTCAACCCTAAAGCGATCAGGCACTACCACCCTATCCTACAATCTGTGGTGGAATCGTCATTTCCCGTGTTTGACGAACTCGATGAGCAGGGTGAAGCTTTCAACACTTACCAGTATATGATGAAACTGGCTAGGTATTTCTCTTAATCCTTTCGAATGCTTTTTTATTGACGTATGTCCTAGCGGAGCAATCGGTCAATGTGCCTTGGGAATGGTGAGCGCCCCGGTCCTGGAAGTTGCATAGGTCCTGCAAAAGCTAATCGCGGTGTAGGATCTACACCATTTTGATTCTATTGACGCACCAGTACATGACCTAGTAACTTCTATACAAAAGACTCTCCAATTGAACAAAAAGGTTGCGTCTAAAGGAGACTGGTGAGTTTGTTGCTTTGAATGAAGCCTGCACACATGTTAACAGATCCCAGGTACGCCAAGGTGCCATTCGGTGACCCTAAGGAATTAGATCGAACTCAGAAGCATGTTGTACAGCTTCTCAACGATGCTTTCGATACTTGCCCGAAATCTGGCGATGAGGATCTACCTATCAACGAAGCTGCTCTGCGGGCCGCATGCATTTTTGATTATCTCAACCGGGCAGTTGATGACGCTGGGCAGAAGCTGCTAGGGAGCTCGTTGCGCCCAACATGCTCCCAGGTGAGAGATAACAGTCAATGTATCCTTCGCGGTTATGAATTGAGGACACGCTGACACCAGTTCTATGCACACAGTTGTGGGAGCGGGATTCGTGACGACGGCTTGTCTGTTGTCTTGGTTGATCTATTCGCTCTGCACTTATGAAGGAACGCAAGACCGTCTCCTGCAAGAACTTGTGGATCATGGAGTTACCCACGATACAACATGGGACCCTGATTTCGCTGACAGTCTTCCGTATTTAAATAAGTTCATCAAGGAGACGCAGAGGTATGTGTTCCTCAAGTCGTCGCGGTAATATTTCATAGATTTTTAGCCATGTTAACAATACACCCTCTGTTAGACTACATAACCCCTCGTTCCAGCCTGGAAGGGTAGCAAAGGTTGACTGTGTCGTCCCGGGTGGATACCAACTTCCAAAGGGGGCGGCGCTGATTATTGCTCTGTACGCGATCCATTCTAACCCTGATATATGGGATAATCCCCATCGCTTCGACCCAGACCGATGGGATCATTTCAATCCAAAGGACAAACCCAAATGTTCCTATATACCCTTTGGGACGGGTCCACGCTCATGTATTGGCTTCAACTTCGCTCTTGGAGAGGTCAAGGTCGTGCTCCCATCCCTGGTTTACAGGTATGAGTTTGTCCGTGAAGGGGAAACTAGCATTGAGTATGACCCTCAGTATCAGCTAATCCGCCCGATGAATTTGTATATCCGGGCCAAGAAGAGAACACACTGGCCGAAGCCAAGCGCGGCTCCAGCGTAAAGAACACGTTATGTTAATTTTTCCCAGCTCGGGATTTATGTTGTTATATGTACCCTAAATAGATACTACAAGGGGAAAACATTGCCAATTGCTGTTAAACTTTCACAATTTATTGAATAACAACCACTTGGAAGGCGCTGGTGTCCCCGGTAAAAGGGAATATAGTACGTGGAGCTGATATTGGGTCGGGTTCAGGTACTAGATCTAGGACTTGCCCCCGGAAACCACTGGGGTCGGGGGCTAAGGGGCAAGGGGAACCCTGATCAACTCTAGTAATAAAACCACGTCAGTTCAGCATGTTTTCTCTAGTTACGTATGAAGTACATTTGTTGGTGTAGAAAAGCCTAGGTATGCATTTTCTGGATTTACACCGATCATAGTAGAACACCAGGCACCTACATGCAAGAGCTAAAATAGAGAAAATACATCGCTTCAGATTTGGTTCCACGTCTGCCAGAAGTCAAAAAGCGAGCCTTCATCCATTAAAACGTTCATTAAATCAGGTTCGTATGCACCTGCAAGCCCCAATTCATCCAACTGGTCATTTCTACCATTATTAGCGTCAAGGCTTTCCGTTTCCAAGATAGAACCTGGGGCATAACTCTCATTGCCAGGAGCGGGTACCGCAGTTGCTGCAGGGCTCACCCTCATAGTGGGAGCTGTGTAACCTGGAACAATCTGTTGGATCGCCTTTGTGAAAATCCCACGATATACTGAAGCAGCAGCGTATGTTTTCTGGAATTCTTCCAAGACCAGCATGCACATTTCAAGCTTACTTAGCCGGATGCGTTTTGCGATAGAATCGCCAGATTTGCATTGAAGCAAGTGCACTTGCATCGTTGGAACCAGAAGAGGAGGCCTAGATGATTTCAATGAGTCAACGCAGTGCAAGATACAGGCGCCTCCGGACTCCAAAGAGCAAAAACGACCCATGGATTGAATATACTCACGTCATAGGCCCTGCGAACCCCAGCAGATTCTCTTGGACGAGCATGTCCAGTATTTCATTAGTTCTAGAGGCAGCAGCATTGGCCCTTAGGCGCATTCGATGCTGCCAGTCATCCTTTGCCAGGGAAGTCAGGCCATCTGGGACTTCCGTTTCCCAGCGGCGATAGAAGGTAATAACCATTGCTCTGAGGGATATGTCAACATAGGAAACTATAAAAGGCAGTAGAACTAACTGGTAATGCAAGTGGACGTGGTGCGAATAGAACCTTGCTACGCGCGTTAGACCGACTTCGTACTGATCGGGCAGTCTGCTCTGTAGTAGCCGCCTTTCAAGTCCTTGCACTTCGTCTATCGACGCTTTGAGGCGAGCAGGCCGACGATTTAGGGCTAGGGTGTTGCCCAGCAGGCAGCTTAGTTCCATCAACATTACCCAGTATTCAGCCAATTTGTTCATGTCGCCAGGTAGGTACGACGCGATGGTGGACCCATCTGGCTTCAGAGTGTCGAAGAGGAGGTCACCAGCTAATGGCATACGGATATCACAGTCATCCAGATTGACCCGCAGGGGCCTCCCCAACGTTAGACCGAGCCAGCGATCCCGGAAAAAGCAGCTCCACCAAAGCCGACACCAAAAAGATCGCTGTCGGTCGGTAATGGATGGCGTATGATTTGAGGCACCAGGATCGCGATGCAGGCCAAGGATCTGACCCAGGTTTATCGCAATGCCGGTCCAATACCACGGTTGTGCATGTTCATCCATGTCCGAGTGCCAAAATCCCATCAAGAGTGACGACTGCAATAGCACAATTTTGTTCCTTTCGTTTCCATTGTTGTACAAGCACTAATTACGAAAGTTAGCCCAGTGACTTTTGCACGTGGGCAAGAGGCAGGGAAATCACTTGCCTTCGCTCGAGAGTACATCATAAACTTCATGGTCCGTCTAGATGTAAAACCTTCTTCCTCGTATATGGTTGCTGGGATAAACTACACGGCTCGGTTAGCTGGACAGATATACAAATGATCTGCACCGTGGCGTACATTGACAGCGACAAAGAAGACGCTCCACAGGAGCAACAGGTTATAGTCCTGAAGCTGTCCAGCCCGGTGATGCTCCACGAGCACATCGGCTTCAATCACCGGGAGGATCGGATGTACATGGACAAGGTATGCCTCGATCATACTATCGCAAGCACGTTTGCCCGGGAGGGTAAACACGCCCTTTCTACGTAGAAAGTCGTGGTCCTCGTCAGACAGGTGCGTGCGGTGCAATGGTATGAGAAAATGCTTCGGCAATGAGTCATTGGTTGAGCAAATGTTCAGGGCTGACGTGGGCCCAGTCTGTTCGCCTATCTAAAGCATGAGTCCCTTCCGTGTTCTATTCTATATTGAGTGGGCGGTTGGTTTCTGTACCTGTATAGAAGTGGATTTCCCCCACACTGTCCGGTTGGCCGAGCGCCGCTGATGCTATTTCAAGTGCATTGCGCTCTTCGTCTGCCATATTATGCACTTCGAAGTCCGAAGGGCTCCTGTTGGCGGTCCGCGTGGTATTTTCCGCTTGGGTGTCGCAGGGGGGAAGGCTTGGAGGTCTACGCTCATCAATCGGACACGGGGCAGGGTTCGCGGAGGCCGTGGAGGTAGCGATGTGTGAGTCAGTTGCCCTAGCATGACCCTGCCGGCGACGGCGAGGTCCTAAGCGGTCGGTCTGCTGAGTACTAAGAGACGTTGCTAAGTCAGTACTATTTTGGGACAGTCTCTACCCGGCGCTCTGTCACCCTTTTCCTTGCTTTGTGTTCACGATACACTCGATGGCATCCTGGGTACATCCGGCACAAGGCACACCGGTGACGGTCAAACTGCATCGTACTTTGCGTTGGCGACAAGCCTGGCAGGCGACGGTAGACCTGTGGCGGCGGGTTCGAGGAGTTTGGTTCGTAGATGCCATGACCTCCGCGCAAGACCGCTCCCCGTATCCCGCGGATTATGGAAAAATTCACTAGTTGTAACAGTTTCGAAGGCGGGGGCTAGGAAAACTGGATACCTAGCGACAGTGCCGGGGTACCTGCTTACGGATGGGCGGGCAGTCGAGTTATCTCAGCAAGAACCACTCTAGTTAAGTTACGTACCTACTCCCGAGGTTAGTAAACTGTCACAACCTCGGAGTTTCAAGCTGCCTTACGTAATCGGTCACTGAACCTCGGGTTTTACTCGAGTTCTGTTTTCACTAAGCCAACATCCAGAACACAGGTCAACTGCCCCTCCCAGACCTCGGACCACCGGCGCCGATTTTCTAAGGATTATATAATTTTACCCTATCACTGGTTAGCTAAATTTAGTATATTTTATTACTTTAAAGCTAATTTTAGAATTACTAAATAGAATAATAAATATATATAGAAAATTTAGAATAGAACCTAGAATCTAATAAATTATCGAGAGTGTTTAAGATAGAAGATAAAAGGATTGCTCGGCTCTAGATATACAGTATATATATGTGTCGGGCTCGCTGATAAAAGATATGAGATGTATACGAAAACGCAGAGGTACTGGATTTTTTTTGGATTTTAGATATCTCATGACCATTTAAGATATGTTTCTCCAAATTCGAATCAGAATTAGGTATGGTGGTGGTATATAGGAGCTTGAATAACTTCAAATTTATTACTGTATGGGTGGGAATTATGGGTAAGTGTGGCAGATGGGTGGGTCTGCTGAGTAAGAGAGCTTCTACGGTCTTGGAAGCTGAGGGCAATGCAAACCCGTATTAATATTCAGTAGCTGGGCTCAAAATGGCTTTCCACAAATTCAGGTTAGAGGCTGGCAAACGGTGCCCTGCCCCGGTCCCAATAGCTCCTGCTGTGTCCCCAAGAGGCCAAGACGGCAATGTGCAGCATCATTCACGTCAAGGAGCTGCCCTCCAGGAGTTATCCGATGAGAGTCTATGCGGTACAGTTCCGGCAAGGGGCAGATTAGAACCAGCCAGTTACCCTGAGCTATTTTCTCCTATGAATGATTCAAGGGTTCGTTGCAGCAAAAGGTTAGGATCCTGTCGGCCTGATGAGGCCATAATCTGGTTCGCAACTGACGCGAAGATCAGAGAAAACCCCAATTTGCGGCGGGGGACAGCCTGTACTGAATGCAGAAGCTCCAAGACGCGCTGCAAAAAGCTCAGTACAGGAGGATGCCTCCGATGTTTGCAGCAGAACAAGGAGTGTACACTGTATCCGCCGTCGCAAATAGCTTCCGTCGAAAATTCTACGACCCTGGCAGCTTCTCGTTCGTTCAGTCCTGAACTGTATGCGCAACAGCATTATAGCAGAACAGCCTTCCTTGATCATCAAGGAGCAGGAGGGAGACTTGAAACTGACAACGACTTGGATATGGACGCATCTGCGACTTTTCAAGGGAGAGTCACCCAAGCCACATTGTGTGAGTTCTCAAGGGTCGAATTCGCTTGTTTTTCGATTATATCACATTCTACAACTGCTTATGACTTGCAATAGCGCCCCACCCATTATCTTGCCATTGGAGGGAGCAATTTGGAAGCATGATAAACTCTATAGTCACTCCGAAGATAGCTGAGCAAATCTTTCATCGGTACGTAGACAGTTTCGCTCCGAAGTGCCCTGTTGTTGTGTTTCCAACTGGCACAACGCCCGCGTTTGTGCGAGAGACCAAACCGTTACTCTTCCTGTCCATAGTCAGCATTGCTTCCGCTGGATACTGCACCGTCGCCCAGCAGAGAGACTTGGCAGTTAAGGCCAGGCTTTATCTCGCAGACCGAGCGATTATTTGTGGTGAAAAGTCTATCGAGCTTGTTCAAGCGCTTCAGGTCGCGTCTTTTTGGTACAGAGCACCCGATGATTATAAGCAAATGAATCTGAACCAGCTAGCCTCTATTGCCACAACTATGGCCATAGATCTTGGGCTGGATAATATAGACGTATCAAAACCAGTTGGCACAGCCAAGGAGATGTGGGATCGGGCTGAAGCACAGCGTGCTTGGCTCGGTTGTCTTCTTTTATCCGCAAGGTGCATTTATTAGATAATTTACTTCTTTCAGCGATTGTCAAAACTGACCTTGTCTTAGTCTTTCCTTAATATTGAGACGACCCAATTCGCTCGCCTGGAGCTCGCACTATGATGAATATGTTGCCGATTTGCGACGTACCAAAGCATCCCCTGCAGATGAGTTCCTCTGCACAATTGTAACAACGGAGCTAGCCTGCCACGCCATAAGTCGCGAGCTATTTCTGAGTGATCCAGCCTCTTCGGTATCCTTATCCGAGCCGGATATATTAATGAAAATTCAAAAACACAAATCTCAAATCGAATGCCTGCCTCTCGACCGAATATCCTCTATTGATAAATGTGAGTGTTGTCCATAGATCGGTGCCCATGTTGGTCTCAGGTGCAAAGAATGACAGTTGCATAAATCAGCTTTAGTTGAATTTGGCAGCTTTGCTAGCTTACTGTACCTACATGAGTTGGTCTTACATGTCAACCACAACATTCAAGAGTTCAAAGCACCTTTTAGTGTGAAGTCCTTGGAGACGTGCAATTTCATCGACATGCCCGGTCCTGACCCGTCTTGCCTTTCTATGCTTCGCACTATAGTACGGGCGGCGCAAGGACTGCTTAATTCTTTCCTCAGATTATCCACGTCCGACATGATTGCCTTACCACCGCATATATACGGCGGTCGCGTGATATATGCCATGATCCTTCTGTTGAAGATACAAAAAGCAATAGCATTATCAGGCCAGGCACTCAGTGAATGCATTACTGCCGACGAATTACGAGTGGAAGTGTACCTTGAACACCTCGTGCTCGTTTCGCAGAACCTTATTACGCAAGATGCTCGCAGTGCTTTGAGCAGGGCATTCCTAGTCATGCCTCAGCTAAAGCAGTGGTTGCACACTCATCAAAGCAAGAACTTGCCCGGATCAGATGGAACTGAAATGGCCGAAGGTCTCCCATTCCAGACCAGCGATGGGCCATTAAGCACTGGCATACAAACGCAGACAGCCACCCACCTTGAGCCAACGGATGGACTTGAACAGCATATCCAGCCTGCCGAAACGTCTGACTACCATACTGTACGTAATAGGGAAACAGGCTTTGAGCCATATCGGCATGACCTGGCACCTGACTCTTGGTTCTGGGAATTCTTCAATGTCGACATGCTGCATCAGAATGCCCCTTCATCATGAGATTGAGATTGGTGGTTTATTATTTCAGCCGCAGCTATTTATAAAGTTCTGGGAGTAGAGAGTTTTCTAATTATAGTATACATACATTCGCATTCCCTTTATATTATTATTGCCATCAGGCACGTTTCTGCTGCCTCCAGCGGATTTGCTTCAACACACTTGCACGCAATAGGTCTAGAATGACTTACACGCGTGCAGTACTTTCCTCCGAGTTTCGCACCTTGGGAGTGCTTTCCAGGGATCGCCATTCGACACCCATGGCACCAAGAATGGAGACACAGGCCAAGGCCAAGGCCACTATAAAGGTCTGGACGATGGCGTCGTTGTAGATCTCCAATACCCGAGTAACCACTGCATCTTGGCCCGAAGCGGCTTGCATGACTGTACGGCGAAGATCGGTCGCTCCGGACTGAAGGACAATGGATGGGTCCAGCTCAAGAACGTGGGCACGCATTCCCGTGATAATGTGGTTGCTGAAAATATTCTGACCCACGGAGACGAAGATGGCGCCCCCAAGAGAGCGAGCAAAGACCACCAAAGATGTCCCGATGGAGACATCCTGCTCGGAAAGAACTGTCTGAACAGCAATGTTCGCAAGCTCCATTCCAATACCGGCACCTGCACCGAAGAGGACTTGGAAACCAAACCTGGATACATCAGCCAAAGAGCTTGTGGGATCAACCCGCAGTCACATACCACATTGACGTCGGTGTGTCGACTTTGAATAGGAGAAATAGACCAGCGCCAACTGCCATTATCATCGAACCCGCAATCATAAATGGGCTGTAATATCCGACGACGGAGACGCCCAGGCCACTCGCGATTGCAAATATCACTGCCTTCATATCAGCTTGCACTGTCCTTTAGCTTTGCATGGACCCCTACGAGGCTATACTTACCAACGCTCAGAACAGTGGGCAGGTTATGGATGCCAGACTGGTCGGGAGAATCCCCTTTGATTGCCTGAAACCTGTTCTCGCCGTCAGTATCAATAGGATCAATATTAGGGTGCCTTGAGGACACTTCTCAGACATACCAAATTGGCAAATAGTATATTAGCAAGACAAATGACGCACTTGCAAAAAAAATATAAAACGTCGAGCAGACAACTGTGCGCTGCCGCAGAAGACGAAGGGGTACTGTAGCATTGTCGCCGGCTCGCCATTGCGCTACTACCCAAGCGATGATCAGCGCTCCGAACACCGTCAGTAGCGCAATCATGCGGCCATCACTCCAGGGGTATTGGGTTCCTCCCCACTGGAGTGCAATCAAGAGACAAATGATGCACGCAACGAAAAAAATCGTCCCGACGGGGTCGAATTGGCTTAAGGTCGCCCAGCCTTCCATCTTAGGCCTGTTTTCTGGCTTTGGTGAGGAGAGAAAAAGAACAATGAACGGGATGGTTATAGCTCCGATTGGCAAATTGACTGGGCTCAGATTAGTTCAAGGCGTGCTGAAAACGGGAGGAATAAGTGAGACATACTGTAGAAGCACCAGCGCCACGACACATGAGCTGAGAATGTGGTCTTGATGTTAGCACCAATTTGATGAAATGTAAAACGCAATGGAAACTGACTTGTAAAAGCTCCCCCTAACAAGGGGCCAACCACACTTGCTATACCCCACACGGCGCCGATTATTCCAGTAAAGGCTGGTCTCTTTGAAAGGGGCACTGATTTGGCGATGATGATCAAAGCGCCTGAGAAAATCCCAGCGCCCCCGATGCCGGCAATGGCTCGCCCTATGATGAGGGCGACGGAGCTAGGACTCGCGCCACAAATGGCGGAGCCAGCCTCGAAAACTAATACGGCGCCAACAAAGGTCCATTTGACTGACAACAAAGTATAGAGCTTGCCGAAAAAGAGCTGGAAACTGCAGTTCGTGAGGAGAAATACGCTACCGTACCATCCGATGTCTTCGACGCTATGGAACTGGGAGGTAATAGTTGGGATTGCAGTAGCGATGATCGTTTGATCCTACTCAGCTCTATTGTTAGCCACCAATCTTCTGTCCTTCGTAAAGTATATCATTGCTGGGAAGCGATGTGCAGTACGAACCAAAGCCACCAAGAATACAGTCAAGCACAAAGCCCAAAAGACGAGGGCTAGTTTCAATCCCGAGGGATATGTTGGGCTCGTCGAGTCCACTTCTTCATTCAAGCGTTCGAAAGCAGTGTTGCCAGGGGCGTATTGGCTGTCATGCGAGGTGTCCATGCCTGGTGCCTCTGGTATTCCACCCTGTTCAAGTCCCATATTGAGTTATGGCCTTTTGATACGTCAAAGGGGAAATTCAGCGACCAGGTGGTATTCAGTTGCTCTCGATAAAATAAAAGGTTGAATTTCAACTGAGTTACAAAGTAAAGTATAACCAGCACCTCCAGTTTATCCAAGTAGATATTTCTATAAAGCCCTAATTAGGCTCTTCTCTTGTAGGCAGATGATATCTAAAGCTTCTCATTGGTTATTCAATTTCTTCTTTAGTCCTAGTTCCGGTGTTCTTCATTCTGATTTGCTCAATAATTACCAGATCCGGTATCGCCGATGCCGATTCCGAGATTGCAACTCTTTTTAATATTAGCAGTTGTCGTACTTTGCCCCTAGGCGCCCTTATGCAAGAAAAGGTCAACACCTCCGTTGTCTGTTACTGCGCTCATTCTATCCAAGCTCAATAACACTTTTGAACATTACGTTTATCAAGGTAAAGCTTCCTTCACCGTGCCAAAAGCATCACTCAACTTCCGCAGAGCCATCACCTCTACCGACGTCTACGCCGCGCAAATGAAGGAGACTCAGGATAGCCTCCTGGAGTTCAGGCGAATGTATGTTTCTAGCCATTTGTAAGGGACTTGCTCCGGCGTATTTTAGATCAGCGAGTTTTCCAATAGGATCTGCGCCTGCATCTAACAATGCTTTCACGATATTCAGCCTAGCAGACTAGATAGCGCGGTGTAAAGGAGTGCCCCATTTGACAGAGATTACATTAGGATCGAGACCCTTAGCTAGCAGAAACCTAGTCATGAACTCTCCTTGGGACACGCGTGGAGCCGTAGCAACAAAGAGTAGATCCAGTTCCAGCTTAGCCCCGCACGCAAGAAGCAGGTCAATCATAGATATATCTTCGTCCCGAGTGCGTTTAATGGCCTGGCTAAGGGGGGTCACCCCTCTTAAGTCGGAACGGTTAGGGTCAGCGCCTCGCGAGATTAATTCGCGAGCACAGGCAGAGTTGCTCATTAGACTATCATTAAGAGTAAGCTACACTCCCAGGATATTATGTAAACAAAGCAGACACGTACACTAGGATAGGAATACCATTGCAGTAGCTGCCATTGACGTCAAGTCCATAGTCGAGATACTGGCGAACAATCCTAGGGTCCTGCTCCACTCCTGACCTTCCTGGAAGAGCAGCTACTGTTAAATCCGTCACGCGAGCGCCGGCATCGAAGAGCGCGGCCACTACATCAGAATGCGCATCCTCAGTGGCAATAGCAAGTCCCTCATCAAGGTTTTCGGCAGTTAGTCGGCCGGTGGCGATGGCTTCCTGGGTTTTCAATAGGTCACCAGCCATGCACGCATGGAGAAAGGCGCGAAGAAAGTCATCTTTGGGTTCCATTGCAACAAGACTAGGACAGACGGTTTGGTTTACACAGTGGGCTTGGGATGGTGATTGTTGATTACTCCAAAATTTAGATGAAGTTAATATAGAAAGTCAGGCTGTATGGCTTTTGTTAGCCTGCTATTAGTCAGATTATAGGGCTGCTACTAACTAAAAGGTAGTTAGTTCGGTCTAAGAGGATGGGGTGGACCCCTATCTACCCTCACTGTAGGAGTAGCTAATCAAAATAGAAAGTACGGCGAGCCAGCTATTTAAAGCATTTTGAGATGATGTTACCCTTGACTGCATGCCCCGAGCTCTAAGACCAAGCCCTGGGCGTAACATCTTTAATAATCTAGCAGGTGGCCTATGTCGTGACTTACTTTATCTGATTAAGCTAGATTTTTACTTATTTATATAAAGGTCTACCTCAATATAAAACATTTCGTATGTAGGAAAAGCCTTACAAACGGACGTTTATTATAGCAAAAATTCAACTTTTGTATGGAAATTGGAAGTTCCGGCCGGGAGAATCTTTTATACCGAGGGACCACTGGTACAGTGGTAATAGACTACTACAAAGATTCAGTCTTCTGGGGAGCGAGCAGAATGGCCGAGTATGCAGGTGAATGGGATTCATGTGCGGCAAATGAGTGCATTGGACGAGGAATCTGGCCAAGGACACCAACAGACTCGATGGCGACAGGTGATTGGGCTAGTAGGGCTTAGACTGTTGGTAAGACAAAGAATTGAATGGCTGGGTGTTGGCGCCATCTTTACTTTGGTTTGCTTTACGTGTACAGTAAGATAGACCTACCGGGGTCATGGATTTAGCCAAGTCCAAATTCCTTGGGGGGCCTAAAGGTTCCCCTCATTCCCACCTACTTTAATAGACTGGCCCTCTAGGCGTATACTCATTTCGGCAGATAAATTGATCTTCCATCGGCCATCATTTCGGTTACCGGTCTTAGTTCATTGCACTGGTTACTTAGTGTTATTGCAGACATGGAAGAGGCAGAGTATGTGATCGTCGGTGGCGGTACAGCAGCCCTAGTTGTTGCCTGCCGACTGTCGGAGAACCCAGAGACGCGCATCGTGGTGCTGGAGCGCGGTAAAGATGCATCGAGTGATGCTCTCGTTCAGAATCCACTGGAATACGAGTCTCTGATAGGCAGTGAGATGGATTGGAACCTCAAGGTAGCTGCGCAGGTAACGACGATCTCCACCCCCTCTGTTGACAATGGCCTTGCGCTAAAATGAACGGGCTAGGCCGAACTGAACGGTCGAGAATTCCACCAGCCAGCGGGGAAGGGCCTGGGCGGGTCTCGTTAATCAATGGTTGCGTCTTCCTGCCCCCAGCTGCAGCGGTTCTTAATGCCTGGAATTCGCTGGGCAATCCGGGCTGGAACTGGGAAACGCTCGCGCCTATTTTCAACGGGCTTATACTTTGCATCCCAGGACCGGGGGGCCCCAGCCTAATAGAGCTGGCCCAATCCAAGTGAGCTACCCAGTGTCTGCCGGGAGGGCTGATAAAACCCTGCTCGACGCATGGAAGCAAACATTTGAGAAATACGGCTATGCTTACGCCGACGAATTGGTGTCGGAAGGGGCAACGATCGGTACGCGGCCATATACTGCGACCATCGACCCGGTGTCCGGATATCGCAGCAGCGCAGCAAGCGGATACGGCGCCGTTCTTGCGTCTCGTGCGAACGTTAGCATCGTCACCGGTGCCACCGTAACACGTATCCTATTCGAGCCGTTTGCACCGAATAGCAATCCCGCTGCCACGGGAGTAGAGGTCCAGACCGAAGCCCGGGGGACCGTCCTCTTCAAACCCACCAAAGAGGTGATTATGGCCGCGGGCGTGTTCAACAACCCCAAGATCCTCGAATTGTCGGGGATTGGGGATCAGGCTCGACTCCAGGAGCTCGGCATTTCACCACTTGTCCACCTGCCCGGAGTAGGAGAGAACCTGACGAACCACGCCATGAGTATCCTGACGGCCCCGGTGAAAGCACATGCGGACATCCAGGACATTGCCCCAGGCATGAAAGCCAATGCCCTCATCCGCCTTGCGCCCGCGGACATGCAACAGATTCTCGATCGGGCCCGCGAGAGCCCAGACCACACGGCCATTGCAGGGATCCTTAACGACCCCAATGAGGCGTCCGCCTGCGTACACTTCGCCATCTACCCCGCAATCTCGCCGTTATGGCCCTTTTTCCCTCCTTTCCTTTGTCCAGGGGCAACACCCATATCCAATCAGCGGACCCAGCTATCAGCCCCAAGATTGACCCAAAATACCTGACCAACCCGTCAGACCTCGAGTCCATGGTCCGGCACGTTCAGCACTTGCAGGAAATTCTCCACTCCGCCCGTCTCCAGCCCTTCGTCGATGCGCCGCCGCCCCAGGACCGAGAGATGCTCGTCCAGCTGGTGCGCGAGGCCATGGTCATCCCAACGGCCCATCCATGCGGTACCACCGCGATGCTGCCCCGCGAGAAAGGTGGTGTGGTCGCGCCGGATCTGAAGGTTTACGGCGTCAGCAATGTTCGTGTGGTCGATGCAAGCGTCTTCCCCATCATTCCGCAGGCGAATCCCATTAGCACCGTTTATATGGTGGCTGAACGGGCCGCAGATTTGATTCGAGCACCTTGATCAGCCCATGTCTTGCTTTTCCCCTGCATTCGGCCTTGATTTGTTCGTGGTCCTGATTGGTAGGGGATAGTAGACTAGTTGTTTACGTTTGACAATACACTGATTCTGAGTCTTGTGTTCCCCCCAAGTCACTACTAAGAGCTTCCAGCAAAACCAAATAAGAAAAATAAAAAAATGAAATAAAAGAGTATCGTACATCTACACAAAAGAATTCCTCTCCAACAAGGAACAGAGCTTTTTAGCGCCGTAGATAAATTCTAATTTGAAAAAAAAAAGGTTGCATCCCTGCAGAAGGCAAACAATTAGACTGCTGTCAAAGTACCCCGGACGATGAGCTGATGCTATAGACGCACATCTACGGAGTAACTACGTGCCGGATTACATACCAACAGCAATATCGCTTTATGAATCACAGACTACCACATCATTTCAGATGCGAAGCGGAAGAGCAAACCTCCGGTGTGCTTAATATATGGCGAGTGAGATATCCTGCAATTAGATGAGTGGAAATTAAGGGGAAAATCCCGCAAGTCAACTAAGACCCCGAGCACAAAGGAGGAACAGAACGTATGTTGTCCCAAGAACTAACCATGTAATTGATGGGCCGTGAACAAGGTATAGCAATCGCAGTGACCACCATTCTCCTTGTTAGGTCCGCGTTATCATCCCGCCTCTCAACCCCAAATGGAGGACCTGGAGGACGAAATGGATGACTTAGATACATTAAGTAACTTTGTCTATACAGCAAATTTGCCCTTTGAAATCCGAGGCATCACATAATGAATGGAACAATAGGACAGAGTCTGAATGACTGCATCGAGCAAAGATCGGGGGATATAGCAAGAAGCCATCTACAAGTCGGGCCTTAGTTGTGCTTCCCCCTAATATGGCGGTACTGTACCTAGGACAGGCGACGTGCTATCAGAAATTATGGTTCCTCACGAGATTTGGGATCTGAGCTAGAAACGTCATTGCCAATGAAGGCTATATCTATGATAGTCGTTCTGGTGGGAACTATTCTCAGAGGCAGTTTCATGGTACAAGGAACATACTGATAACAATGCCCTTGGCCTATCTAAACACTTTAACTTAATCAGCAGGAGTGAGTACATATTCCGCGCTTTTGAAATGTAGCTGTACGCTATCTGCAACAAACTGACTATAAACAATGAGTTAGTTCACCCTTATGGTTCCCACGAGGCCATACCAGTAGTCCGAAACGGGTGCCAGAGCGAGAGTAACAGATATAGCCAAGGTAAATCCGAAAAGGAGGACGTGAACTGGACGCTTTTCAACATCCCTCTTCCGTTTAGCATCTATCGAACGTAGGGCCTGTTCAGCCACGATCTTGCTGCTGGCTAGACATATTGGAACCCCCGTGCCGGGATGTGTGCTTGCGCCGACGAAGAACAGCCGCTCAATTGAACTATGGCGTGTTTTGGGCCGGAAGCTGAGGACATTGAAGAATGAATGCGAAAGTCCTAGGATAGAGCCACGATCGAGGTTGTACTTGCTTTCCCAGCTCAACGGCGTGTCCACCTTCTCGCTAAGAAGCTTCTTCCGTAGATTGGAAGCACCGGTCCTCTCCTCTATAATGTCAAGGACTTGTTCTCTCAGTTTTGAGACTGTCTTTTCCAAGTAGTCTACCATTCTCATATTGCGTTCATCTGTTTCCTCATTATTTGTGCCCTGTGGAAGATGTCCAACCGGTACGAGAACCACGACTGCATCTTTGCCTTCTGGGGCAGCCGTCTTGTCGAGACGACTTGGGACATGGACATAAAAGGAGGGCTCTAGAGGGACTTTATTTTCCTTGAAAATTCTATCAAAGCTTTCTCGGTACTCCTGAGCGAGGAACACATTGTGGGATTGGAGCTCAGGGATGGTAGTGCTGAATGACCAGAAGAATGAAATGCAGCTGCAGGAGGTATCCCGTTTTTGCAGACTAGTACCATATGTGCTTCCTGGCAGAAGGTTATTGTAGGCATATGTAAGGTCTGCATTTACAATAACCAGGTCTGCGTCCAGAGTCTCACCCGACGCAAGGCACACGCCTGTTGCCATATGACCATCATCTGAGAGTTTGACGGATGTCACAGGGCAATTGAGTCTGTACTCCACCCCAAGTCGTTTTCCAATTTTTACCAGGGCGTCTAGGACCTAAAGTGTGACCTGGGTCAACAAGCAGAATTACTGAGTGCCACGAAGTACTTACTGCATGTAGACCACCAACTGGATACCAGATTCCATGTGCAAGCTCCGTGTACTGCAGCAGGGAGAATGTCCCAGGAGCGTCAAATGGGCTCATTCCAACATACATGCTTGCAAATGTGAAGGCTTGTCTGAGCTTCTCTGAGCGGAAGTACCGGCTTATACGGCTATACATGCTCTCAAAAGGATGCAGCCGCCAAAGCGAGAAGAGTAATCCGGGCCGAAGCATACTACAGAGGCTAGTGAAATTTCGGCCTAGGACATGAGTACAGGATAGGTTATAATGCTCACCAGCCTCATTTAAAAAGTTTAAGAAGGCACTGAAGCCTTGCTTACCCTCAAACCTTTGTATTTCCTGGTTCATTTGATTCATGTTGGAGGATATATCTATGCTTTGACGGTCTGGAAACCATATTCGGTAGTTGGGGTCACATCTTAAAAGCTGGACTCCTTCTCTTTCCATTGTGGTTTCTAGATCTTGAAAGATCTCAGCAAAGAACTCCGGCATAAGAAGAAGCGATGGTCCTTGATCAAATCTCTATGTGGCTGTTAGCCAAACATAAGTCATCTTCCAAACAGCAGCCCAGGCTCACATAATCTTCATCTTCAACAATGGAACACCGACCGCCTGTATAACTGTTCTTTTCTAAAACAGTTACACGGACACCATTCTTGGCTAAGCGAGCAGCCACAGCCACTCCTCCAGCGCCAGAACCTGTGTGATTGCGTAAGTCAGTCACGTAAAGATTTAGTCTCGGAAATTGTGTGCAAGCGCATACCAACTACGATTGCCCTTGGAGTGGACATTAGGAAATCACAGGGCTGGGACGAATTTGAGACTTAGCAAAGTTCAGGTTCCAAGGCAACCTTGCTGTTTGTTGAGTAGTAGTTGCCTACGTTGTTTGAAAGCACATGGAATATATATGTGCCAGATTTTCAGGTTTTCGTTACCAAAGGTTTCACACGTGCAAGGTATGCAGACTAGGTAAAAGCGGCAGGACTGACGAATTCTCTTGGATGATCTCCACTTTTTATTGATATGCAAGGGGTTGTACTGTTGTCTTGATACGATCCTGCATAAATGGTTCCTCTCTGTGGTCCAACTGGATTGATTGGCAAAGAAGTATGCTCAGCATCGTTGGTTGACCAATATGGAGGTTGATGCTACCGAAGCCACACCGTATATAGGGTGATCATTTCCGAGTATAAGTTCTCGTCTCAGTATGGTAAACTCTGTGAGCATAAGCGGACGAACCCCATATTGAGATAGGGGTCGTGCGTGACCTGTCACATTGATTGTTTTTCAATATTTCGCTTTCTCACCATGACGGAGCTACTACAGGTCAGGTGGCTATTAGGTGAGGATTATGATTATGTATCAATCTTGCATCTCAATTTAGCTACCGCTATTGTTCAAGTAGCCAATGATCGTATTATCAGATACGATCTCACATAGTGCCAATCAGTTGTTCTCGTTTCACAGTCCGCCATTCCATACCCAAAGCTCCTAGAATGGATAATGCTGAGAGTGCTGTAGCAACGTACCATGCTCTTGTGAGGGCTGTATTGTACACTGGTCGTACAAGCTCAGCGATATCTGGAGGAATGGTGGAGAGTAGCTCTGTAGCGCCACTTTTCACGATGGATGACGTTGGAACGTGATGAGTTACCTGTTCGACACCTTGAACGAGCTCGTTGATAAAGACATTTTGGCTTACTGAGGTAAACATCGCGCCTCCCAGAGAGAGGAAAAATACCATCAGAGAAGTACCGATAGGCACATCAGCGAGAGGCAAGACCACCTGGGCCGCAATAATAGGGAGCTGAAAACCTGCGCCAATACCCAGGCCGTAGACAACTTGATATCCTATCCATTCGGGAGGACCCGATGTCGTAGTAAGTGTAGAGAGCAGGCCAGCGCCAACGCTGGATAGAATGCAAGATACATAGAAAAACTGGGTATATCTGCCGCAGAAAGTAATGACAACCCCACAAATCATCAGGAAGACCACCATTGATAGGAGTAGGGCGATGGACATAACCCCAGACTGCGTAGGTGATGCTGATTTGATGGCCTGGAACCAAATCGGAATGAGATATATCATGGTAAAGAAGGACCCGCCAAGTAAAAAGGAAAATAAACAACCAAAGGCTATACTTCGCTGTCGTAAAAGCCTCGGCGGTATGGTAGCATTTTCGCCTTTCCAAGTCTGGACAAACACGAAAGCGATCCCTAGCAGGGCAAACACTATTATTAATGCAATGACGCGGCCATTCGACCAGGCATAATGTACTCCACCTAATTGAAGAGCGACAAGGATGCATACCACAGAAGGCAGAAGTAGAGCGGTTCCGATTAAATCGAACTGACCAAGTCTTTCCTTGAGAGTGGTTGTTCTACTCACCAAAGTAGGTAACCGAAGAGCAAATATAGTGGTTAGCATAGATACCCCACCAATTGGAAGATTTATATAGAAGCTGATCGATGTATTAGCAGAAGCTGAAGATGGCCATCATGACGCAAAGACATACCACCATCTCCAGCTCACATAGGTCGTGAAGGCGCCTCCCAGCAGCGGGCCTATCACAGACGCGAATCCATACATTGACATCAAAACACCATTATCTGGGACATGTTAGCTGGCATTTCTCTTCCCCTATTGAGGTATAAAAGATCCTGACAGATGGGGAGCCTTTCTGGTTTAACGCTCTGGGATAACACCACTAAGGCCCCTGAAAATACTCCTGCTGATCCTACCCCTGCCACAGCGCGGCCAGTAATTAGCATTGTTGAGCTGGAAGCCCCCCCACACACAGCTGAACCAATCTCAAAGAGGCTGATGGCCAGTAAAAATGTTCCCTTGATCGAAAATAGCGTGTAAAGCCTGCCAAATACAAGCTGAAACGAGCATGTGGTCAGGAGGTAAGCTGACGCATACCATCCTACGGAATCCAGAGTTTTGAAATCATCGGTAATACTCGGAATTGCGGTAGCTATGATTGAATTGTCCTAAAGAAAAATATACGGTCCAAGTCAGCGTACTAGGCGTGCATGCCAGCTCCATGAACCTTCTCACCAAAGCAACTAAGAAAACAGCCAGGCACAGGCCAACGCATACAGCAAGTAGATTGTACGAGCTGGGTCTACCATTATCGGGACGGCTTTCTTCCGAAGGTTCTTCGTATATTACCGGGTCGGTCAAATGCATTGGTATCGATTCTGCCGTTTTGGAACCCATAGTTCACGAAACCAGTAGTGGCAATACGTCACAAGGTATAAGAAATGCTGTGTTAAGATGTAAACGATGGTGCTAGCATGGTGACAAGGCGTCGCTGTATCCCCAGTCTGGCTCATTATATGTTGGTTCGTGCTTCATTTTTAATCTCGCATTCCTCACTGTAGCCGGGACAGTCTCCCTCATGCACAAGGGCTAGTCCCTTGCTTGACACAAAAAGCCAAAATACATTCTAAAAACCAGAGTTTGTTCATGTCAAAAAAAAATGCTGCATCTGCTGCTCAAACAACCACAAATTGACTGCCTACTGCAAGATGCATGAATCTATGACTGGTGATTCTGTGGTTAGTTAAGTCCAACCAGTTCTCCATGTGTATATTAAAAAATAGAAATTATTCCCTAAGCAGCTTGCAGAAAATCATTCCCTCTTCAGATAATGTTCAGAATACTACACCGCCGTCTTTCGAACTGGCTCCTTACATTAGGAAAACTACGCTGCAAGCTATCCCGTGTATTGCAAGAATACGCATCTTACTCGAAATAATAACCTTAACACCATACTGACAACGAACGTGTAACCTATCGCCAAGGGTATGCAGAACGTAGGGGGTTCAGCAATAGTAGATTAAATATGCAAAGCGGTATACTTGTCTTCCAAAGATGACGGATCACGCTGCAGATAATGGGTTAGCCTGATTCATCGTCTTTAACTGGCAGGTATATCATATGTGAGGTCTCCATAGCTACGGGAGGGTTTAACCCAGATCAAATAGTGTCGGGTGCTTTTGGTGTGCCCTATCTGCGCACTCAAGTTACAGCGTAAGGGGTGTTCTGCATGTTATCAGATGTTTTTCCTAGCCCCAATATGTTTGACGACGAGGGGCATTCCAGCACTGCGACGTGCTAATTCAATGCCCTAGGGGAGGACTTAGAAATGGGAATTTTGGTACTCTTGAAAGGCATTGCTTATGACTAACAGGAATCATGCATTGGGCACTACAGCCAGCTAATTGAGGCCGATATTGTGCATACTATACAAGTGCAACCAAGGTACTCCATGCCACTATTTATCCTGAAGTTAGTAGAGACCTCCCCACGTATAGTGCCCGCTCGCGTACGGGTTGTATTGGCTTTAGGAGCTGGGGAATAGGCTGGTATTGACAAATCAATGTTGCGTAGCTAGAAGGGACATCATCGGAGAATGTTGAGCTATTATGGATACATGATTATATGCGTTGTCAAACGTGATCGTAAGATATACGCCCCCCAAGTAATCATACTAAGTGTACTGGCAACGCAGCTAGGGTAATTCAACAATCATGCCGCTTGGTCATATGTCCAGCTTTCGTGGGTTAGACGATGTCCACGGCCTTTCTAAAGGTTCATTGCTTTCCATGCAACGAGCAACCGCCGCCATAGCGGTAAGCGAAATTTTCTTGCGGATTGAAGATTGCCTTTCTTCTTTCTAAGACTGCGACTGATTTCCATATAACTCTCAATTGTGGCATTCACAGGCCCTTGGATCTCGAGAGGCAGTTTATCAATTGCAGCACGAGAGTTCTGATAGCAATACTCGGCCTTATCCAAGAGCATTGCTTGCATCGTATATACTTTCGGGTGCGAAGGATAATCAATCACGTCTAAAGGAGATACACCTGCCTTTTGAAGCCATGCTGTGGGTATATATACTCTGCCAATAACAGCGTCTCGGTGGATGTCCCGGGCAATGTTGACATATTGTAGCGCCCTGCCCATCTCTCTACCAGCAGCCGTTATCTGTTGTAAATGGTCTGGTGGATGAATAGGCTTGTTTTGGAAGTGATGGTGGTATATCAAGCTTAATGTCAGCTCTCCCACGGTGCCAGCAACCAGAGAAGCGTACATATCGAGGTCAGCTTCTGTCTGGATAGGAAATATTCCTTGTTTGTGATTAAATTCCAAGTCTGTCTTCAACCCTCTCAGCAGATCAAGGAGAGGCTGTTTGGACAGACGTGGCGCAGGAATTTGTTTAATGGCTGCAACGAGCCTTTGATCAACTTCAGAACACAGACCCTTCAGGGAAATTGATTTTTCGACGTCCTGGGAAAGGAACCTCGCATCTAACAACGCTGAGCACCGTTCGATCCACAAGAAAGCTTGATCCTTGTTTTGAGCTTCGTCGACCAGATCGTCAATCAAGCGGCAAAATGAGTATCTATATATAGAAAGGTCATTATACAAGCCTTTAGACTTGAGTATGGACCACTCACAGGAAAATCAAATCAATTCGAAGTTGGCCTTCAAAAAGAGCACTCCCCAGATACATGCTCGGGCTTTTCAAGTGTAAACAGTTGGTTGCTTCACAGAGCGCATCAAGTATTTGGTTATTGAATTCCACTCTTCTTACTGTAACAGTGGTGAAGGCTGATTTTAGGGACGTGCCTTTTGTAGAAGATGTCCCCGAGGTGAGATAGTCATACTGATCGATAGCAAGGGCAACATCACATGTGACAAGTCCGAATACTACCAATGCATTCGTTATAGCGAAGAACACGACCTCTCTATAGTAAAGTATGCATTTTAGCATTTAATGTCCGTCAGGTCGGGGAATTAGTTTAAGAATTGCTCGCTTACTCCAGTTCAAGGCCTGACCAGACCTGTAAATTCACTTTAGTTTTATGATTTATGACCCACGTACCAGTTCTAATGGCATTAGAATCCGCTATCCAAAGATAGATAGTTGGTATCCAAATGGCACATAGAATACCGCCATATGGAATAGCCAGAATGACTCCGTGTGAGATTACCCTGCAATGTCAGCATCTCCATATCAAGGGAGGGTGCAACTCAACCTACCATTGTAATATCAGTACTGGGAACGCCCATGTAATGATTAATCCTAGGTAAGTTGTATGGCCGCTTAGTAGTATGCATGTCGCCCCAGCAGCCCATACTGCAACTAGGGATGTAGTGCCAAAATCTCTTGCTTGTTGTTTAGAAGAGCCAGATCTTAGATAAATTGGCCACAGAAGAGGTTTCGTACAAATGCAGTATACCAAGCTCGTCAAGTAAGTCTGAATAATAAAGAAGAATATTTCTTCGATTGGAATACTAAAAACCGTGTATCCTAGTACTGTGCTGGGTGGGTAGCTCCAGATGCCAGTGCGAATTAGATATGAATCCCATGGTAGTGTATATAAAACGGCAACCTGTTTATACACTTGTGAGGCACTGGTCTCCACCACATAACCGTGGCTTGAAGGTGAGACAAGACATACTATTGTTATAAAGGTGATTTTGTAAATATCCTGGCGGGTAAAAAAGGGATAGTACAAAATCGATAGAATGATAGCTATGGGGACAGTATATTGGGCGTGACTAGAATGGTACAGCGCCTTTTAGTCACCTCCACTTGCAGCATGGCATGTCCTACTTACAAGAGAAGGTACTGAGTGCCCATCGTTAAATCCAATATGTTATCTGAGGTCGTTGCTTGATCAATTTGCTTGAGATATCTGTAAACAATGAGAAAATATGTTAATTAATGCGGGTCATAAGGATAATCATGGAATTCAGGAAGCCCAATAAATATTACATTGGGTAAAAATGGATTGCCAACCCCGTTCTGAGACTAAACTTTCTTGCCGAATATGCCGGCAGAGCTCCACTGCATACCTAAATCTAAGCAAGGGGTATGCAGCAGTACTAAGCGCACGCAGTACAACTATGGTAGATCCCAAATTATGAGGCATTAGAGAACAACGTTTTAGAAAGAGTCAGCCGTGAAATTCTCAGCTTCACACTCAGTACAACCGGTCTATTGAGTGACCGTTTACCATATGAGTTATTGTGACCAATAGCATCCTGTAGATAGAAGTATCTAGTAACGCTGATTTAGTCTTAGGATACGCTGGATACATGGTATAGCTTCCTTACTTCCATCTACTGACTGACTACTGCAGCTGCATCATAGGAGCAAAAGTCCGCACCAAAGCCAGCGTTGAAATATGGATATGTGACTGGGCGCACCTTAGGGACGCGCCTACATGGTCATCCGCATAGACTGGTCATATCTTGTGACACGAAAGTATACTTCCTTGGCGGTATACAGAATTACGAATTATCATACCTGGTGGAGGTCCGGATATTTTAATTACCAGGCGCTGTTTTGGAGCAGTATTGCCAACATACCGCGCATTACAAATGCCATGATTCGAGACCACTTCGTACATATATGATATCACCGGACCGATTCATATGAATCCCTTCATTTCATGTTAGGCACATCGGTACTTATTTCCGATTTACATGACAACCTTTTGACAATCCAGAATCTCAGTTGCACCATGATGGAACAAAAGAAAAGAAGCCAGCATAGGTGAGTCACTATATTACAGCTTCAAATATGGAATAACTGACTTGCAGTAGATATCTGAGTGGCAACTTTGCCCCCGTATCGCACACCGCACCTTTGCAGCCATGTAGATTTATGGGAGAAATTCCCGATGAGCTTCGCGGAGGGCAGTACGTTCGAAACGGCGGAAACCCTGTAGTCACCCACGACTTAACAAGGAAGGCACATTGGTTTGATGGGGATGGTATGTTGAACGGCGTTTATTTCCGACCTTGCTCAGACAGGGACGGAAAAGACATCATACAGCCAGAGTTCGTCAACCAATATGCCCTGACTGATGTGTACTTTGCCAATGCATCTGGCCTAAGTTTGGAGGAGCCAATGAATCCCAGCATCGCCTTATTTTTGGATCCGCAAACGACTCTGACGGAGGTCATAACAAAGGCATGGAATTTTCTCAAAGTTGCCATGAGATCTTATTTCGGAGGGTTTCCCAATGTCATCAAACGAATCAGTGTTGCGAACACTGGTGTTATCTATCATGATGGCCGTGCACTTGCCACATGTGAAATTGGACCACCTCTTCGAGTGTCGTTGCCGGAACTCGAGACGGTAGGATGGTTTAATGGCATTAACGCTGAGGGTGAAATTCCAAATGATACTGTTACAGCTGGGTTTGGGGATCATTTGTTCTTCAAGTTTTTCCAGGAATTCACAACAGGACATGTAAGTCACACAGCCTGTTAACGTCTCTTCATGCCCTTCAGGATAACATATCCGGTTCAACTAACCATAGAGTCATAGCCCCATGTCGATCCACAAAGTGATGAACTGATTTTATTCCATTCGATATATGTACCACCATATGTAACCTACTCGGTTATCCCACGGAGGAACAGGCCATTAGGGAAGCGAAGCAGTCCAATGTTCAACATCCCTGTAAAAGGAATATCACGTCCCAAGCTGATGCATGATTTCGGTGTTTCGCACCAATATACTATCATCATTGACCTCCCAATATTGTTTAGTCCTACGAACCTCCTCCGAGAGGAGTCGCTAGTCACATACTGCCCGGATAAAGAAACAAGATTCGGCGTCTTTCCTCGCTACAACCCAGAGGCTATCCGTTGGTTTCATACGGAGCCATGTTGCATATTCCATACCGTTAATTCATGGGACGTGCATCTTCCCGGCCGTAGCGAGTCTCCACCGGTTGCTATAAACATGCTGTGTTGCCGAATGACTGGTCCTTCAATGATATTCAATACGGGTGACATTGAGATCCCACCGGGAAGCGTTAACCATGAGATAAACCCTGAGTGTCGGTTGTACTTTTATCAGTTCGATCTAAGCTCCCCTTGGAATGTGATATCGCAGCAGTGGGCTCTCTCTGCCATTGGATATGAATTCCCGCATGTGCCGCGACACTCCTCAATGTCAGCTACCAGATGGGTGTACGGCTGCTCGACAGTAGAGGGATCCTTTGGCATCGCCCTTGGCAAAGCATTAAAGATTGATTGCCTTGTGAAGATTGATGCAAAAGCTCTGATTGCAAAAGGCTTAAAGGAACCACCCGAGCAAGTCACAGGTTGTGTTGATAACCGCTCTGTTAAGGAAATTCTCGCACAAAAGGACAAAGACTCTGACGATCCAATCCGCATATACCAAATGCCGACTGGATGGTATGCCCAGGAATGCTCTTTCGTTCCTCGTCATAATGCAGAACAAGAGGATGACGGGTGGCTACTGACCTTTGTATTTGATGAGTCACAACTTAGTGATGCAGGTGAAGCTTTGGATACTGCGAAGAGCGAGCTTTGGATTCTCAATGCCAAAGATATGAATAGCGTCGTAGCACGAATTATTCTTCCCCAAAGGGTGCCATATGGCATTCATGGCAACTGGTTTTCCGAGGAAGAAATTCAAAGTCAGCATCCAGTCCAAAAGTACCGGGGCGTTCCGAGACAACAGATATAGAATAGAGCTACAATTTGTGCGGCGGGCTAAATCGTTTTGCCAGACAATAGAAATTTCTTACCGAAACCTAAGCGTTTTTACATGCACTCTCTTGTATATAAAAATTAAAACCGAATGAAATATAGTGGAGCCCTCTATTTATTGGTAAATTTGGTAATATTTTACATGATTCGGAACCTCGATTTGGTAAGATGTAATTTGGATTTTGTTCAAACCGTATCATGGGGATCACATCAGATCTAACCCCTTGCATATTCTGGCTCCAACTTTATTGCTGATGAAGGGAGAGGTATTCAGTCACGTAGTTTTAAATCAACGAATAAATATCCCTACATATTACTTATGACCGTGACATTGCGAAACCCCATCTTGTGACGCGACAAACACTGACCATGGCTGTATCTGCTCTCCATATGCTCGTCTTCAGCCTGTTCAACCCATATTCTCTAAGTCTAGACAGCGACGGCCCATTCCCTGTTTTGGGCCGTCTTTTAACTTCGAGATGCATGCCGATCGAAGATACGAATATCTCAAGCTTTGCAAACAAGACTGTGCTTATTACAGGCGCAACTAGCGGTTGCGGGTTTCATTGTGCGAAAGCGCTATCTCGTGTAAACTGCCACTTGATTTTGACGGCAAGGAACCGTGAAAAGGGAGAGGCAGCATCGCGGGAGATTGCTAGCATGAATCCTAGCTCCGGCGCCACCGTCGACTTTCTAGAAATGGATATGACCAGTTATACATCAATCTATACATTCAGGACAAAATTGCAACAGTACTCCCAACTCGATGTGGCGATTTTGAATGCGGGCATGTATTCCACTGACTTCAACCTATGCCCAGAAACTGAGCTCGAAGAGACCCTACAGGTACGTGTAGAGCAATTTATTTATCTATTTAGTGTGTATGTCAGGAGACAAATAAGCAGAACTAATACTAAATAACCCTGACGAATAGGTTAACTTTCTGAGCACCTGTTTGATATCTCTTCTTCTAATTCCACTACTTCTGAAGTGTTCTCAACAGTCACGTCTTCTATTTATATCTTCAGAAGCACATGCTTGGGCAGCCCCACGACAAACTTCATTTCAAGATTTACAAACGCAGCTGAATGATCCCGCGGCATATGCATGCTATGAACGTTACCATATCAGCAAACTACTTCTTGTCCTATGGACACAACGGCTATCCTCACAAATCGATCCGGAGAAACTCCTTATCGCATCAGCATCCCCTGGCTTCTGTCGCAGCGGATTGTTTCGCCTCTTCAATTTCCATGCACTCGCCGCATTTCTAGAGAAATTGGTCTGTCGAACACCGGACAAAGGAGCGTCCCAATACATACTTGCATTGGGCTGTATGAGCAAAGAGACTCATGGCGCTTTCTACTCCGATAACAAGTTCAGAAGGTATCGTTCTCGTATTAACCGGTCATCCTTGAACCCTTATTCACGGCGCCGTAATAACACTCACACAGACCAGCCACCGCGACGGCTACATATTCTGCAGTCTCCCTGCGTAATTCTCTGTGGGACGATATACAGAGACTCCTCCCGACGTGGATTCAAGGCGTGGGACAAGATATTTTCGCCATCTAGGAATATCATCGTGGCTTAGTGTAGAATCACTGGTTCAAGTAGAAGATTTGAGGTTGCGATGGCTTCTTCACGCGTACGAATGTGTGTGGATCAGCTAGAAGCAGGACCAATTTTCGAAACAAATTGACGGGGGCCAACTTGGAATATCAATGTTAGGAATTTCTCTTGGGCTGGGATTCCATAGACGCTCCCTTCTCAAGAAGGATCTTTACCGCTTCTGACCTTCAGATTTAGCATGCCGCGCCTAAGTGTGTCGTTTTCCATATATCCAACTTCATCTTCGTGCTCAAGGAGTCTCACGACGTCCCCACTTTCGTGTTGCTTTCTTAATGCGAAATATTTGATCTCAATCAAAACTAGTAGGTAAGATCTTTAATTACAATAATAATGGTGTTTATGATATTCTATCGACTTGTGGCATATGTTATAAAAGCTGCCTTAATATAGATATTCAGCCTCCGACATGTCAGTGTCTCTTCCAACCATTGCCGTTTAATAACGGGAAACATGTCCATGTAGATAGAGTGTCAGCATCAAAGTATTGTCGTTTTGTCATAAAACAAATTCAAGCAAGTATTTCGAGTTGTGAGGACTGCAAATATATATTATCTCCTTACCAAAAGACTTCGTAATTTGTAGGGCCCACGAGTAGTAACTCACGGGTAATCTTGGTCTTTTGGTAAAATGCCTTGTGTCGCCCCAAGCTCTAGATGAACTACCTTACAAATCTCCGGTTCAAAGCAATAACTATTAGTTGGATATCTGATTATCGACAGACTGGTATATTGCTTTTAAGATATTCAGCGAGTAATATAAACCTCTTCCCATATAAAACTAGCACATACGACCACAGGG